TCTGTTCAGTTCCTCTGCCCATTTTTTAATTGGGTTATTTGTTTTTTGTTTGTTGAGGCGTGTGAGCTCTTTATATATTCTGGACGTCAAGCCTTTATCAGATCTGTCATTTTCAAATATATTCTCCCATACTGTAGGGTTCCTTTTTGTTCTGTTGATGGTGTCTTTCGCTGTACAGAAGCTTTTCAGCTTAATGTAGTCCCACTTGCTCATTTTTGCTGTTGTTTTCCTTGCCCGGGGAGATGTGTTCAAGAAGGAAAAGCTTTTGAATATGTAAATGAATTTTAGTAATTTTAATTTAAAAAAAATCTCGAAACAATTGATTTCTTGGGCACTATATCCAGATCTGTTTGCTATGCAAGTGATTAAAACAACTTTTTAAAATTTCTAAATAATGAGTTTAACAAATGACTTCTAGAAAAGAAATATTATTTCAAGCTGGTCTTATAGTTTATTGATGTGTAAGACTGAACTTATTTAATCTATGCTCATTAACACCTCTTTCATCATACAGTGTTGTGAAAAATGTGAGTATTTTAGATAGTAAGTTCCTCTTTTCAGCACTGTGTTTTTCAAAACTAACCTTTTTTGTGACTTCTGAAATGTCTTAGATTTCAGTCTTTCCAAGTAGTGTATAGTATGGTATATATGTGTAAATATAGACTAACTTAACCTGTGTCATGTTGACTCAAAACTTCTTAAACATCAAATATTATACTCTGTTGTGATGAGGGTAGGGGACAAATGAGATATATTAAATTATTTGCCCTGGCTTGTGATAGATTCTGAACTTAGAATATTTGATCAGGATTGTGAGATTTAAAAAAAATTCCACTTTTATATATAGACTAGAGGCCTTCCCTGAATGTACAACTCTTTAAATCCTTTCAAAATAATATTCTTTTCCCTATAATCTTCTGGTCTTGTTAGTCTTTCAAATTCCTTGTCCAGTAATTCTTAACAAATATCTTGATTTCCCACTGATACAAGTTATCACATTTTCATTTTTGGCTTTTAATTGACCTTAAGTCATCTCCTGCTTGATCAAGTGTGTGTGTACTGTGTGCTCCAAAACCTGCTTCTGTTCTCAGACTGTCTCGTTGGAGTAGACAGTGACTTTCCAGGCCTCTCCTGAGTTTCTTCATCCCCATTCATTTCCTCCACTAGCAGGATCTCCCTGATCAAACCATGGACGGTTTATGATTTGATTTTGCTTTCATCGTGACTGCTTAGCATCTGGAGATTCTTTCCATTCTATTTTATATAGTTTATTGGTTCTGAATTGGGCTAGTTTGGACATCAGGTGAAGTAGTTTTCCAAATCTTGGTGGGTATGCAGTGGCCGTCCCTGAGTGTGGTGGTTATGCATTATGGGTTAAGGGTATCATTCCCACCCACCTTGACTAGTAACTGAAGGGAGTGGACATCTTCAGAGGCAGGGTCAGAGGAACATATGGCTCTCCTTTTTGTCTCATTTTTCCTTTATCTCATTCCCAGTGCTATCCTCTCTCACTCCACTGGGTTTTTCTGTTAACTTATTTTTATTGTTCACCCAAACCATGTCTTCTTTCAGCTCCTCTCTCTCCTCCACCAGTGATTCTTGCCACTCTTTTCAGATAGTCTTTTCCCAAAAAAGCAGAATGTTTCCCAAACATATTCTCATAATAGGAAATAACATGTAGGGGAGACAAAGTATAAAGCAAACAAAAATAAGGGAGCATTTTGTAACCACACGTTCTTCTTTTTCTCAGTTTCTGAACCTCAGTTTTCTAATCTGTGAAATGGAGATCATGACACCTGCTTAATGAGGTATTTATTAGAATTAAGCAGAATGTGTAAGTTCTTGTCAGGTAGATACTCACTAAGTTAAGCCAGTTACCACCTTTTCCCTTAGTCACAGGTACAGATTATAAGGAAATACAGTTCACTGATAAGTGTTAGACAAAGTGGTTTCAAGTTTAGTCTGGCAAAGGGTGTGTGTGTGTGTGTGTGTGCACATGCACCCAAGTTGTTAGTGATTAATACCTGTGAAACGAACGGGGTGGGGGCAAGATTGGGCAGAGGGGCGATAAAATTGTGCATACAGTCCCAACAGGCATGTTTTTGGGACTGTGGAGTGAATAATGTCCATCAGAGTTGTAACGGCTGCTCCGTTGAACTCCTGCTTCACCCATACCAGTCACCAACCACATCAGCAGCCAGGGAAACGCATGACCCAGATTGAAGAAGTTTCCTCACAAGCATGTGCTGATCAGTACTCTGCTGAATTCTTGATGTGGACTCTGCAAACCTATAGTGTTCTCTCCAGGCATCTTTCGCTGTCTTGCACCTTGATCTGCTTTACTCTTCCAGAATATTCAGCTTTGTTTCCTCAACTCAGGTTACTCTGTGAGGCTCTGCCTGGGTTCCCTTTTCTTTTGCTCTTTAACATTTCATCATACTTGTTTTATTACATATCTGTCTGTTTTTCCATCAGTCCACCCCTCCCCTAGTTTTATTTAGAAATAATTGACATATATCATTGTACAAGTTTTAGGCATACAGCATGATGGTTTGATTTACACATTGGGAAATGGTTACCCCATAGGTTCAGCTCACATCCATGCTAATGCAGTCTCTCTGGGTCTCAGAGGTACAGTGAAGTACTTCACCATCACCCCCATGTTCTTGGATTCTTTCAGTGGTATCTTGGTCTTGAATAAAAGTTAGTTCTTATGAAGGGGAGCAAAGTCAAGAATGACTTAGGTCACCATCTTGATGATATCACTCCTCTGGCAAATATTTATTGCCTTAGAATATTATCTGATATGCTAACATACTGTGAAGAAAGGGTATATTCTAACTGATTGTTGCAGCAAGAAGAAAAATCAGAGCTTAACTGATGCTGTACATTTGTGGAGTACAGTTATTTAAAATGGATTTTAAAAATAGATACCATAAGTATGAAATTTAAAAATCATTTCTGTTCATCCAGGTTAACATGCATACTGAAATTGTTCTTGTGATGGAATAGTCCATGTAGCAGTCTGCTTGAGTTTCTGATGACTAGACTTGGTACTTTAAGGAAAGACTGCTTTATTAGGTGACTCTTAAATGATGTAACTCTTCTTTATTAGTCAGGCCTTGTCAAGTTGGCACACAAAATTAGCCACATTGTCCTTTGATAAACTTTTTCCTTTTATATTTTTCTATAGATAGATGCACCATCAGGAATGGAATTACAGCCATGGTATCCTGTTATAAAGCAGGAAGGTGACCATGTTTCTCAGACACATTCATTTTTACACCCCAGGTGAGTGGGTATTAGCTCATTTGTTGGTTCATCCGTTCATTCAGCACCTGTGTTTGTCAGGCACTGTTCTAGGCACTAGGAGCTCATTGTTTAGTTTTAGGCTTTCTTGTTAATCAATGGAATGAATTATAAATTGTGTTGAATATTTGAGATAACATTCTTTTGGGGTTTCTAGGGTTTTTTTGTTTTTTTTTTTGTAGAAATAGGTTGTTTCCTTTCTGCCCTGAAGTAAAAAATTCAGCTTTGGTATTTTAAAAGGAAACTTTTTTGAAACAGAAGCTTTTAGGGTAATCAATCTCCTCAATATCATGTTTTTATATTTTACAAACTTTATATTAAGTCCTAGATTTATATCTGCTGCTGTAAATATATATTCCCTCTAAATGTGATGATGAAGAATCTCAGTCTTATTTACACTTGCTCAGTTCCTACCATTCCTATTGCATTTGAAGTAAATCTTGGGCAGTATTAGACCTGTCATCTTCTTAGCAAAATACTATGTTTTCCTCCTCAGAATTAATGTGACTGATAAAGAAGAACAACAGAGATGTCCAGTACAAAGAAATTGAAATATAAGAGGAGATTATTTAGAGTTTAGGGAATGAAGTGTTCTGTCAGTTAATGTTTGTATCTTTTGGCTAAAGGTTATGTAGATTAGAGTTTATAATATGGTTCTTAAATATTTAGCTCAGATTTGTTCCATGAGTCTCTCATAATCTACTGAACAATTTTATGTGAGCTTTGAGCAAAAAATTGGTAGTTATCTCTTTGATCTTAGTTTTATACAGTTTATTATTGATGTTTTATCAAATAGGAAATATTAAATTGTTTTAGGAAGATTGCTTGGGGCATTCAATACAAGGAGCATTCAGAGCACCTGTTCTCTCCTGAGAAGGGTGCTAGGCACTGGGAGCCCCTCATTGGGCCTATGGTGAATCAGCCCATAACCAGGCTTGGGACTGAATCAGCCTTGCCATAACAAAGAGCAAAGATTCCTTGCTTTGGGGGCATGGCAGACAAGAAAATGGTCTACCACAGTAGCGTATAGTCTGTTTTCTCTCTGGCATAAACCTTACTTTCCCAGGGCTGTTAAGCAGCTCTGTAAAGTGCTTCATGCTTTTAGTTCTCAGGTAGTTATGAGGGGAGAAGAAAAAACAGTCATTTTCTTTCCTAGTATCTTTTGAGTGGTTAGAAATTACTTTTTGCAGAATAATAAAAATTCATCATAATTTTGCTCCTGCTGCCTAAAGTACAGGCTTTTTTTTTTAAGAATTATTTTTTGTGACCCTTACTATCTGATTTGTTATGTTTTCTGTTTTGGTAAAAAAAATAAAATTGTTTTAACCATAGAAATAGAGAATGTATTTTGTTTTTACCTAATGCAATATGTGTCTTATTTTGCCTTTCTTTGTTTTCAGCTACTATTTGTACATGTGTGATAAAGTAGTTGCCCCAAATGTGTCCCTTGCTTCTGCTGTATCCCAGTCTAAAGAGGTCACAAAGACAGAGGCAAGTAGGGTCAGACTGAGACAGTTTGAGAAGCCTCACGGTAGTGGGAAACAACAAAAACCAGTGTCTTATCCAGATGTCTCACTGGAGAAATGAGGTATTTATTAGAATTAAGCAGAATGTGTAAGTTCTTGTCAGGTAGATACTCACTAAGTTAAGCCAGTTACCACCTTTTCCCTTAGTCACAGGTACAGATTATAAGGAAATACAGTTCACTGATAAGTGTTAGGAGACAAAGTGGTTTCAAGTTTAGTCTGGCAAAGGGTGTGTGTGTGTGTGTGTGTGCACATGCACCCAAGTTGTTAGTGATTAATACCTGTGAAACGAACGGGGTGGGGGCAAGATTGGGCAGAGGGGCGATAAAATTGTGCATACAGTCCCAACAGGCATGTTTTTGGGACTGTGGAGTGAATAATGTCCATCAGAGTTGTAACGGCTGCTCCGTTGAACTCCTGCTTCACCCATACCAGTCACCAACCACATCAGCAGCCAGGGAAACGCATGACCCAGATTGAAGAAGTTTCCTCACAAGCATGTGCTGATCAGTACTCTGCTGAATTCTTGATGTGGACTCTGCAAACCTATAGTGTTCTCTCCAGGCATCTTTCGCTGTCTTGCACCTTGATCTGCTTTACTCTTCCAGAATATTCAGCTTTGTTTCCTCAACTCAGGTTACTCTGTGAGGCTCTGCCTGGGTTCCCTTTTCTTTTGCTCTTTAACATTTCATCATACTTGTTTTATTACATATCTGTCTGTTTTTCCATCAGTCCACCCCTCCCCTAGTTTTATTTAGAAATAATTGACATATATCATTGTACAAGTTTTAGGCATACAGCATGATGGTTTGATTTACACATTGTGAAATGGTTACCCCATAGGTTCAGCTCACATCCATGCTAATGCAGTCTCTCTGGGTCTCAGAGGTACAGTGAAGTACTTCACCATCACCCCCATGTTCTTGGATTCTTTCAGTGGTATCTTGGTCTTGAATAAAAGTTAGTTCTTATGAAGGGGAGCAAAGTCAAGAATGACTTAGGTCACCATCTTGATGATATCACTCCTCTGGCAAATATTTATTGCCTTAGAATATTATCTGATATGCTAACATACTGTGAAGAAAGGGTATATTCTAACTGATTGTTGCAGCAAGAAGAAAAATCAGAGCTTAACTGATGCTGTACATTTGTGGAGTACAGTTATTTAAAATGGATTTTAAAAATAGATACCATAAGTATGAAATTTAAAAATCATTTCTGTTCATCCAGGTTAACATGCATACTGAAATTGTTCTTGTGATGGAATAGTCCATGTAGCAGTCTGCTTGAGTTTCTGATGACTAGACTTGGTACTTTAAGGAAAGACTGCTTTATTAGGTGACTCTTAAATGATGTAACTCTTCTTTATTAGTCAGGCCTTGTCAAGTTGGCACACAAAATTAGCCACATTGTCCTTTGATAAACTTTTTCCTTTTATATTTTTCTATAGATAGATGCACCATCAGGAATGGAATTACAGCCATGGTATCCTGTTATAAAGCAGGAAGGTGACCATGTTTCTCAGACACATTCATTTTTACACCCCAGGTGAGTGGGTATTAGCTCATTTGTTGGTTCATCCGTTCATTCAGCACCTGTGTTTGTCAGGCACTGTTCTAGGCACTAGGAGCTCATTGTTTAGTTTTAGGCTTTCTTGTTAATCAATGGAATGAATTATAAATTGTGTTGAATATTTGAGATAACATTCTTTTGGGGTTTCTAGGGTTTTTTTGTTTTTTTTTTTGTAGAAATAGGTTGTTTCCTTTCTGCCCTGAAGTAAAAAATTCAGCTTTGGTATTTTAAAAGGAAACTTTTGAAACAGAAGCTTTTAGGGTAATCAATCTCCTCAATATCATGTTTTTATATTTTACAAACTTTATATTAAGTCCTAGATTTATATCTGCTGCTGTAAATATATATTCCCTCTAAATGTGATGATGAAGAATCTCAGTCTTATTTACACTTGCTCAGTTCCTACCATTCCTATTGCATTTGAAGTAAATCTTGGGCAGTATTAGACCTGTCATCTTCTTAGCAAAATACTATGTTTTCCTCCTCAGAATTAATGTGACTGATAAAGAGGAACAACATAGATGTCCAGTACAAAGAAATTGAAATATAAGAGGAGATTATTTAGAGTTTAGGGAATGAAGTGTTCTGTCAGTTAATGTTTGTATCTTTTGGCTAAAGGTTATGTAGATTAGAGTTTATAATATGGTTCTTAAATATTTAGCTCAGATTTGTTCCATGAGTCTCTCATAATCTACTGAACAATTTTATGTGAGCTTTGAGCAAAAAATTGGTAGTTATCTCTTTGATCTTAGTTTTATACAGTTTATTATTGATGTTTTATCAAATAGGAAATATTAAATTGTTTTAGGAAGATTGCTTGGGGCATTCAATACAAGGAGCATTCAGAGCACCTGTTCTCTCCTGAGAAGGGTGCTAGGCACTGGGAGCCCCTCATTGGGCCTATGGTGAATCAGCCCATAACCAGGCTTGGGACTGAATCAGCCTTGCCATAACAAAGAGCAAAGATTCCTTGCTTTGGGGGCATGGCAGACAAGAAAATGGTCTACCACAGTAGCGTATAGTCTGTTTTCTCTCTGGCATAAACCTTACTTTCCCAGGGCTGTTAAGCAGCTCTGTAAAGTGCTTCATGCTTTTAGTTCTCAGGTAGTTATGAGGGGAGAAGAAAAAACAGTCATTTTCTTTCCTAGTATCTTTTGAGTGGTTAGAAATTACTTTTTGCAGAATAATAAAAATTCATCATAATTTTGCTCCTGCTGCCTAAAGTACAGGCTTTTTTTTTTAAGAATTATTTTTTGTGACCCTTACTATCTGATTTGTTATGTTTTCTGTTTTGGTAAAAAAAATAAAATTGTTTTAACCATAGAAATAGAGAATGTATTTTGTTTTTACCTAATGCAATATGTGTCTTATTTTGCCTTTCTTTGTTTTCAGCTACTATTTGTACATGTGTGATAAAGTAGTTGCCCCAAATGTGTCCCTTGCTTCTGCTGTATCCCAGTCTAAAGAGGTCACAAAGACAGAGGCAAGTAGGGTCAGATTGAGACAGTTTGAGAAGCCTCACGGTAGTGGGAAACAACAAAAACCAGTGTCTTATCCAGATGTCTCACTGGAGGAACAGGAGAAAATGGATTTAAAAACAAGTGGAGAATTATGTAGCCGTTTTGGTAAGTATTCAGAAGTCATCTTTTTAAAATCAGATACTTAATAAATACATTTATTCAGCATTTTCAGAGGGGATTTCTCTTTAAGAAAAATTTCCAGATTTCTCAGGCTTTTTTATCTTTAAAGAATACCACCTTTCAGAACTCCCAAGTAATTACTTAGAACCTCAGTTCTATACTATACTTCTGCTATACTTTTTAAGAACGGTGAATAGCTATAAAGCTATGAGATAGATATATAGGCTATAAGGCTTCTTAACTGCAATACTCTGAGTATTTTTTTTCCTTTCCTCCCTTTTCTTTGCTGTCAGTTTTCTTCAGAAGGTCCTTGTTTTTCTTTCTAATTTGCCATAAACTGAGAAACCATTTAACTGATAATGCTAAGACGTATATGTGAGAGTAGTTAGATACAGTACTTAGGGAAACTAGTCATGGAATAAGCAAGGATTGAAAACTCAGCTGTGAGAACCAGGCAGATGGCATAACTGCAGAATGCTGGCTGGACATCTAAAAAAAAAAAGCTGCTTAGTTACAGGCGACTGTGGACCAAACAAGCCATGTCTGCCCAAATGCTGCCTATATTACCTCCCCTTTCTAGCAGCACAGCTTTGCTTATGGCTTAGGCAAGTGAGAAGTTAATTCAGCTTCCTTGGAGCTATCGAAGAGTAATGTCATTTAACTGTTTACATAGATAGCTGTGATTCATGGAGAAAGGGGGTTAAATTTGAGGTTTCTAAAACAATTGTTTTTAGTTTTAAATATGGTAAACAATAATCAATAATGTACCATTATGCCCTATTTGTGTTTTATTTCCCAAATTAATTGAATCTAGTGAATTAAAAAATTGCTGAGATAATTCATATACCATGAAGTTTACCCTTTTAAATCCCCAGCCTCTATCCATTTTCTGTCTTTATGGGTTGCATGTTCTGAACATTTTATATAACACATATAATATGTGACCTTTTATTGTCTGGCTTCTTTCATTCAGTATACTATTTTCTCAGTTCATGTTGTAGCATGTGTTAGCACTTTCATCCTTTTTATGGTTTAATAATGTTCTATTGTATGGATGGATATACCACATTTTGCTTATCCATTCATCAGTTGGTGGACATTTGGATTGTGACCAGTTTTTTCTGTTTTGAGTAATGCTGCTCTGAATACTTAGGTACAAGTTTTAAAGTGGACATATGTTTTCAGTTCTCTTGGGTATATATTTAGAAGTGGTATTGCTGGGTCATACGGTAACTATGTTTAACATCTTGAGGGACTATGCAACTGTTTTCCAAAGGGACTGTACCATTTTCATTCCCAACAGGAGTTTATGAGGGTTCCAGTTTCTGCACATCTTTGCTAACACTTGTTATGGTCTGTATTTTGATTATAGCCATCCTAGTGGTTGTGAACTGGTATCTCATGGTTTCATTTTCACTTGTTCAATGACTAATATTGAGTGTCTGTTCTTTTTTTTTTGACATTGCATATCTTTGGAGAAATGTCTGTTCAGATTTCTTACCCATTTTTAAAATGGGTAATTTGTCTCTTTACTCTTGAGTTGTAAGAGTTCTTTACATACTGAATATTAGACCTTTACCAGATGTGTGATAACACCATTCTGTCAGTTGTCTTGTTTTCTTGTTAATGCCCTTCGAAGCACAGAAATTTTAAATTCTGATGAAGTCCAATATTTTTTTTCCTTCCATTGCTTTAGATGTTAGGTCTAAATTAAACCATTGCCTAATCCAAGGTTACAAAGATTTACATATAAGTATTTTAGTTCTTAATATTTAGGTATTTGATCCATTTTGAGTTAATTTTTCTATACTGTATGAAGTTCAACATCATTCTTTGTATATGGATACACTTGTCTTAACACTACTGAAAATACTGTTCTCTCCTGATTGGATTGTCTTGGTGCTGTTATTGAAAACCAGTTGCCCATAAAAATGTAAAATGTAAAAATGTCTGGACTCAATGCTTATGCCAGTGCTATAGAGAGTTGATTTCTGTAGCTTTGTAATAAGCTTTGAAATTGAGGGTTGTGAATTCTCCAACTTTGTTATTTTTTTCCCAAGATTGTTTCGGCTATTCTGGATTCCTTGCATTTCTGTAGGAAATTTTACATCAGCTTCTCAATTTGTCACAAATCCAGCTAGGATTTTGATAGGAATTGCATTGAAAAAGTAGCTCAATTTAGGGAACATTACCATTTATTGTTCCTCTAAGCTACTATTAACAAAAATGCCACAGACTGGGTGGCTTATACCATAGACATTTATTTTTTACAGTTCTGGAGGCTGAGAAGTATAAGACCAAGGTACCTAGCAGATTTGTTGTCTGGCAAGGCCCTGGTTCCTGGTCCATACATGGTGGTTGTCTTCTCACTGTGTCCTTACATGGTGGAAAGGACAGGAGCCCTTCTTTTAAAAGGGCATAGATCCCATCATGGGGGCTCCACCCATATGATCTAATTACCTCCTAAAGGCTCTACCTCCCAGTACCATCACATTGGGGGTTAGAATTTCAATATCTGAATTTTTGGGGTTACAAACATTCATGACACCATAGTAACAGTTCATAACACTCTTAACAATGTTAAGTCTTCTAATCCATGAACATGGGATACTTTTCCATTTATTTAATTATTTAATTTCTTTCAATGATGTTTCATAACTTTCATTGTACAAGTCTTATACAACACTTGTTAAATTTATTCCTAAGTATTTTATAATTTTTTGTTTCACTTTTATGTGGAATTGTTCATTTCATTTATGGGTTGTTCTAGTGAATTTTTAACAGAGTGATATTCATACTTTGTTACTTCATTTTTGCCTCTCAAAGATCCATCAATCTCAAATAATTCTACAAGTAAAAAGAAATCTGAGTCTACCACTTTCAACTTAGTCAGAGATACAAGCAAGGCAGTAATTGACCGTAATGCTGCAGCCTCATCTCCACTTCTTGTCAAAGATGTCATTTGTGAGGATGATAAGGGAAAAATCATGGAAGAAGTAATGAGAACTTACGTAAAACAACAGGAAAAACTGAACTCAATTTTGCAGAAGAAGCAACAACTTCAGATGGTAAAATTGTTATCTAAATGATAGCCCATTACGAAACAATACTATTGCATATTTTTGAGAAAAGTTAATAGAGATACTGCAAATGTATTTAAGATTATTCAGTTTTATACTCATAAGCAATTTTAATATACTTGAAAATTTTTAGAGAAAGTAGTTTCTCAAGATAATTATTTATATATAGACTGATATGACAGCTGAATTTTAGATATTTCCTGTCCTGGCTTTTTATTTTTTCTGAATTGAAATTTTTAACATGATGGAAATAAAGTAAAAACTGTATTGTGATTCTGTGTATTACAGGAAGTTGAAATGTTGAGTAGTTCAAAAGCTATGAAGGAACTCACTGAAGAACAGCAGAATTTACAGAAAGAGCTTGAATCTTTGCAGAATGAACATGCACAAAGAATGGAAGAATTTTATGTTGAACAGAAAGACTTAGAGAAAAAGCTAGAGCAGGTAATGAAGCAAAAATGTACCTGTGACTCAAATTTAGAAAAAGACAAAGAGGCTGAATATGCAGCACAGGTAAGAATGACTCAGTTTGTGTAATGTTGCCTTTTAAACTTTGAAATTTAAGCTGTTAACCTCCTCTATTAAAGAAATTACTTTTTGTCAAGCTTATTTCATTAGGCTAGATGTCAAAATAGATAATTCTATTAAACACAACTTTATGCTATATCATCCAAGATGAATTTTTTTACCTTATTTGCTTTATTTAAACTGTTACTGGATTTCTGTTAATTGCCTAAATTGCTTATCTCTGTCTTTCTGAATATCAGATGTTACATTATTTTAATGTATAGGGCTTTCAAATAAATTAATAAAATACACTGTTGTCCACTGTGTTCGAAGCAGTGAAGCAAAAATGAGTATCAGTTCACAACTTGGGGAAGGTGAACAAGTAAGTCTTAACATGAGTAGGTTGTGATGAGAAGTATACTAAAGCATAGGGTATATTGAAAGTGCTCTAGGTCTCCAGTTCTTTTGATTCTTTGTTTTTACCCCCAAGTTAATGTTATGTTAATGATTAACAGTATTAAATATTCAAGAGATTGTAGTGTGCATGAAATAGTTCATTTGTTAAAAAGTAATTTGAAAGGAGGTCTTTGTCATGATGTGAGGAAAGATTGGAAAAACAAACCTGAATGAAAACTGACAGTCTTTTAAATCACACAGTTGGCAGAACTGAGACAGAGATTGGACCATGCCGAGGCTGATAGGCAAGAACTCCAAGATGAGCTCAGACAGGAACGGGAGGCAAGACAGAAGTTAGAGATGATGATAAAAGATTTAAAGCTGCAAATTTTGAAATCATCAAAGACTGCTAAAGAATAGAAAACTTTAGAGAGATTCATCTGTGTATTTCCAATAGGGTTTATTTTTGTTTGATTGTTTGTTTTGGTTATTCAATTCTGAACGTGTTTGCATGAAGATAACTAGGCATTCTATCCATTTTTAGATCAGAGAAAGTGAATAGATTATATATTAGTACATAAATTTTCACATTTTCCAAATGAATGAAAATGTATGTTTCTTTGTATTTTTTCCAACCAGCTTAGTAACAATACTATATAATTTCAAGTTTTAGATAATCTGCCTATATTTCTAATGTAAATTTAGCAGTTGTATACTTTTAAAAGCTTCATTGTGTGATGAAAAATCATTATGGTTAATCTTGTTATCCATATTTCAGACTCAATTTTAGATACAGTGGTGGCTTCATGTTTCATATATATAAAGCTACACAAGAAGTTGAATCTCCATTTTTTTCATTAACACAATTTCCATTCTAAGTTGATACAGTAATACTGATACCTTATACTCATTATTAAATACAAAACTTGCTTTTATTTTGTTCCTTTGTGGAATGAGTTTCCACCAGTTCTCTTTTTAATGTCTCCTAAGAGTCATTTTTTCAAGAGAAATTTTATTTGAGATTATAGCACGCCCCATGGGCATGATGGGGAAGGATAACATGCTTTGTTACAAACTGCTGCTGAACAAAAGAAACAGTTGTGATTTGTTTTTTGGTTTAAATGTGGTAATATGTAAAATTTTCTTAATGCAGCAACTTGAGGGTATAAAATTAATAATTTTTGAACTTTTTGTTAATAGTGGTGTTAAAATGTTAATGTTCTTAAGAAAAACTGATATCATTGATGTACATCAGTTTCTATATAATCCATAATTCTCCTGTACAGTTTTTGTATCTAGTAATGGGTCTTACTGAAAATTATATAATGGGTTTGTTTTCCTTTAAGTTATAAAATATTAAACACCTTGAAGGTTATTTTGGACTTTTGTATGTGTAAATGTTAAGTCTTACAAATTTGCACGAATGGACCATTTTCAGTTACTACTTAATAATCAAAATCAGGAATTTATAGTCAACTGATAGTGTTTGATAGGTTAATATAGGGGAGTTTAGTTACCTGCTACCAAAAGGCTTTTAGATAATCTTTAGAAGACAAAGGAATAATATAGTTTGGGGGAGGAACGACATCATCTGCACTTTTTTTTTTTGCACAGAAAAATCTCATTCTTCAGTGACAGATTTTACATTAATTTTTTCCTTAAGAGATATTAGGTAAAATTCTTAGTAAACATTTTGTAAAGGAAGTTTCCTTAAGCTACTATTGACTTTATTATCCCATGAGTTTTATGTTTATGTTCTCATGTAAGGTGTATGAAATTATGTGAGAGCTAAATTTATTTTTGAAATAAATCTGTTAAAGTTAATGTTCTATACTATTCGGAGCATAGATGAAAGATATTCTAATGGTATGGAACTTCAAAAATCAATAGGTTATCATTTAACCAGTTATTTTCATGTTTTGCTTACTTACTGGTACTTAACATATCCTAAAAGAATTGTTGTACTTCCCAAAGTATAGTTTCTTTACCAGAGTATGACCTAATTGTCTATTTTCTGTATTTTACTGTGTTAACCCTGCAATTTGTTGATTCTTAGAATATCCTCAAGGAGGAATAAATGTTAAAATAACATACAGGAACACAGTTAAAAATGACATACCCTCCCAATACCTTGTATTCTGATTTGGAGAAAGAAAAATCACAAAGACATTTTATAATACATTTTCAATTTAGTTGTGAATTAGTTGTGTCACAGCTAAGCTTTTTGGAAGACAAACTCAAGCCCCTGTAATTTCATTTATTTTTCTAATTCACTCAAAATCTTTATACTTATGTTACTTAGTAAATGGTAAACTTAAGTTTCAACCCAAAACTTCTAAAATAAATTGCTTAATGTTTGAAATACATTATTTTAAAATTCTAAGCAGTGCTTAAATACCTTTAAATTGCCATAAACCCTTAATTGAGAATTGAGTAAAGAAATACTTTGTGGTTCTTCACTTAAGGAAAACTTGAAATCGTAGAGTCTTCATTTTCTGGGAGATACATTGATGTGCCATAGGTTTCTGTCTGACTTCCTGAAAATAGTTTTTTAGTCACTTGTAAATATTATACCTATTCTAGTTAGTAATTTTAAGTTAAACTGTACCACGTAGCTTGAAAATATAGAGATTTTGAAATACTTTAAAAGTGGCCTCTGCTAAAATATCCATATAAATGTATTCTTTGCATGCTCATTTTGTTTGTTGGTTACCAGCTTATACTTTGCTTTGGTGTTAGCTTTTGTGTGCCAGTTCATTAAGCCAGCAGATTTTTCCTCAGACTTTGTGATGTTATTTTAGGAAAAATACAAAAATATTTAAGAAAGCTGCATTAAAGTAATAGCCTATCAGAAGTGCTAGAGCATCTTTAGAAGGATGATAGATGATTTAGCTGATTGAGTGATGGGTAATGTTTAATTTGGGTGATGATAGTTTCTATACTCTATGAAAAAAAGGTACCACCAAATCTATAAAGGTACTAAATGTAAACCTGCTGTCACTGAGGAAGCTCTAAACTACCCTGATTTCATAAATGCAACTTGTAACAACATGAAAGGATTTGACTGATGATGTAAACTTGGATTGTGCTTTCTTTTATAAAGCATATTCATTTGAGTTTCTATGTCCATGAAAGTGAGGATGTTTTATGCTTTTTAAACTAGTTTTATAACATTTAATATATTGCCAGTTGAGATGTAAATCACTTGTACATATTGAATAAAAAACCAGTTACTAAAGTAGGTGAAATAGACTGAGTACAAAATCTGCAGGTTATCTATACTTTAGGAGTCATGAGAGAACAACCAGTTTATTTGCACATCTATGGCTTCTGTTTAAAGGAAAGTGAAATGATAAGGGAACTTGAGTAATATGAAACATGCTCAAGATTTTTCCCTAAAATTATTTGTAAAGCTGGTGCTGAAGGTTTTTGATCACCTTTAAAATTTTTCCTCAGTAACTGATACTAATTTTGATTGATTAGGGAAGAACCCTCATTTCTGTTTGCTCATGCATTTAATATGCATGACAGGACATTAAAAGTTAATATGAAAAGTGCTCATACTGTACATCAATTTCTGTGCTTGGAACTACTTGTTAATAGTTTTTATTGAAGCTGCCAGCAATAAGGGACACATTACTGCTGTATTATATATTGTGGGATTGAATAAACAAGACAATTTTTTTCTAGTAGAGAATACTTAAGAATTTCCATTATTGGAATAAATTTATATGGGTATTCTGTATTGCATCTTGTTTGAAAGGACAGTTTTTTTTTAAAGATCTTTCCAGTTTTAAATGGTTTCTAAAACTACATAATGCAATTTGGAGCCTGTTTCTTAAGTAATATAATTAAATATATAGTACTACTGTTTTTGAATTAGGAAGTGATCAAATGTAAAAACTTAAAAATTAAGCCCAGAAAACAAAATAGTGTATTAAGTTAGTGAATGTAAAAGAAATTTATGAGATTTTTTTCCTTCAATATAAATACCTCACTTGAAAATAAAGCACAGCATACTTAAAGTAGTTATAGTAGAAAAAAGTCCTACTAAAAGAATTGCTGAATCTAGGACAACTTTTGGGGAATTATAGTTTGGGAGAAATACAATGTACTTGCTTTTAACCATCCTGTTAGAAGTATTTGTTTATCCTAATAATTTTAAGCCAACAAACACAGTAGTCTTAAATTATTTCTGAATTTCTAACCTGTGAAGGCAGTAAATGAAATATCTGTTCTGCAACTGTTGAAACAAATTGTTGATGACATTGATAGTTCAACTTAAAATCTTGCCAATGATGTACAGTTTATGGTTAAATTGCTGTGGTTGGTTGCATTACATGACACAAAACTGTCCTCTACCTCAGGTGAAATAAATATTTTATATGGTTTTACTATAAAACAAGACATCTGGTCACTTAGTTTACAAATTTTAAATTATATTTATTGAAACATGACATACTGTGCTCTTAGCTTATACCTCAATTGTATTTTGTGCTGTTTTCCATTTTCATGCCTTGTAAATAACTTGTATAGATTGTGGATTTAATTCCAAATAAAAACTTCTAATGCCAATGAAATAGATTCAAGCCATCTTAGTATCCTGTGTGAGCTCAATATTCTTGTCCCTCAAGATTGACATTTTCTCCTTTTGTTCCTTTAAAGTCTGTTACGCATCACACTAAGTGACTAACTTGAAATCTTTTATTTTAAAATGAGAAATTTTATGCAGTATTTCAGGAGATGAACATACTAGCATTTTGTGGTTATTGTATTTCATGAAACTTGGACTCCTTAACATCTTTCCCTTACCTCCCCCTCACCACCTCACCACACCCTGGCATTAATAGCTGCTACTGCATAACAAATCACTCCAAAATTTAACAGCTTAAGACAACCAGGTATCACAACAGTATCTGAGGGTCAGAAATCCAGGAGCAGTTTCGCTGAGTGTGATGGTTCAGGAGCTCTTAAAAGGGTACAGTTAGGATGTTACCTAGGGCTGAAGTCAGCTGAGCTTGACAAATGGAAGATTGGGCTATTGACAAGCACTACTGACAGGTGCTCAGTTGCTGTATGAACCTGTCCATGCTCTTCACAACATAGTAAATGGGTTTCCCCAAATGACTGACCCAAAAGAAAGAAAGGGATGCCACAATTTCTTTAATGACCTAGATGTGCACTATTTGTTAGAAGTGTCACTGTATGCAGCTGGTATACAATAGAAGGGGATTACACAAAAGTATGAATACCAGGAGGTAGGTGTCACTGGGGGCCATCTTAGAGTCTGGTTACCATACTCTCCCAGTTTTTTTAGGGGGCAAAATATATATACATAAAATTTAGCATTTCAACCATTAGGTGTATGATTTTGTGGCATTAAATACATACACAATGTGTAATTATCACCAACATATCTAGAACTTTTTCATTATCTAAGACCTATTAAACAACTCACTATTCCCTGTCCTTCCAATGCTTGATGCCCTCTATTCTACGTTGTGTCTATGAATTTGTCTGTTTTAGGTACCTCATATAAGTGGAATCATAAAAGATACTTTTGTGCCTAATTTCACTTGTTTTCAAAGTATATCCATGTTGTAGCATGTGTCCAAATTAATTCTTTTTTATGGCTGAATACTATTCTATTATATACACATGCCACATTCTTGTTTATGCATTCATCTATTGATGGACATTGGGTTGTTTCCACACTTAGCTATTGTGAATAATGCTGCTGTGAATCATTGGTTTACAAGTACCTGGTTAACTCCCTGCTTTTAATTCCTTTGGGTATTTACCTGGAAGTGGAATTGCTGTATCATATGGTAATTCTATATATAACCTTTTGAGGAACCACCAAAATTTTTCATGATGGCTGCATTACTTCACATTACCACTAGGAATGCTCAAGTTTTCCAATTTTTCCATATCCTTACCAACACTATTTTCCATTTTATCGATTCTAGCCATCCTAGTTAAGTGTTATTTCATTGTGGTTTGATTTGCATTTCCCTGGTGACTAATAAGTATCTTTTCATGTGCTTATTGGTCATTTGTATACCTTATTTAGAGAAATGTCTCAAGTCCTTCACCCATTTTTAAATTGTTTTTTGTTGTTGAGTTTTATTAATCCCTTACCAGATACATGATTTATAAATATATTCTACCATTCTGTAGGTTGTCTTTAACTTTTAGTAGTGTCCTTTAATGCACAAAAGTTTTAAATTTTTGTTGGAGTCTAGTTTATTTTTCCTTTAGTCATATGCACTTTTAGTTTCATATACAAGAAATCATTGCTAAATTTAATGTCATGAAGATTTTCCCCTATGTTTCTTCTCAGAGTTATATCTTTAGTTCTTACATTTAGGTCTTCGGCCCATTTTGAGTTAATTTTGTAAATGGTATAAGGTAAGAATCCAATTTTATTCTTTTGCATATGGGTATCGAGTTCCCAGTATCACTTGTTGAAAACTGTCCTTCCCCACTGAGTGTTTTTTACACCTTTGTTGAAACTCATTGGCCATATATGTGAGTTTATTTCTGGGCTCTCTCTTTTATTCCATTGGTATGCATATCTGTCCTTATTCCAGTACCACACTGTTTTGATTGATCTAGCTTTATAGTAAGTTTTGAAATGAGGAAATGTGAGTCTTCCAAATTTGTTCTTTTTCAAGATTGCTTTGGCTATTTGGGGCCCTTTGAGATTATATATGAATTTTAGGATAAGTTTTCTATACAGGGAAAACACTAGTAGGGATTGCACTGAATCTGTGGATTACTTTGGATATAGTATTGTCACCTTAATAATACTAGGTTTGCCAATCTATGAACATGAGATGTCTTTCCATTTCTTTACACTTCTTCCATTAATTTTTTTCAGCAATGTTTTGTAGTTTTCAATGTACAAGTCTCCTTGGTTAAACTTAAGTATTTTGTTGTATTTGCTGTATTGTAAATTGAATTGTTTTCTTAATTTACATTTCAGATTGTTCATTGCTAGTGTGTAGAAAATGCAAATGATCTTTGTTGGTTTTGTGTCTTGGAACTTTGCTGAATTCATTTAGTAGCTCTGTGTGTGTGTGTGTGTGTGTGTGTGTGTGTGACCTTCAGGTTTTCTACATGTAAGATCACAGCTGTGAAAAGATAATTTTACTTCTTTCTTTCCAATTTGGATGCTTTTTATTTCTTTTTCTTGCTTAATTGCTCTAGCCAGAACCTTCAATACTGTGTTGAATAGAAGGGCAGAAAGCAGGCTCCCTTGTCTTTTCTTGATCTTAAAGGGAAAGCTTTCAGGGTTTTTCATATTTGGCTTTTTTTTTTTTATCATGTTGAAGAAGTTCCTTTTTATACTTAGCTTACTGAGTGGTTTTATCATGAAAGGGTGTTAAGTTTTGTCAAATACTTTGACTGCATCAATTGAAATAATCATGTTTTTTTCCCTTCATTCTATCACTGATGTATTACAGTGCTTAGTTTCTGTAAGTTGAGCAATATTTTACATTCTAAGAAATACCATTGTTCATGGTGTATAATCCTTTTAATGTGCTGTTATTTATTTAAAACATTTGATGTAATGTAAATTTAATATGTACATGTTAATTTGATGCATTTATGAATTGTATAATGCTGAATTCAGTTTGCTAGGATTTTGTTGAGGATTTTTGCATCAATATTCTTATGGGATATTGCTCTTTAGTTTTGTTTTTTTCTTTATAGTGTCTTTTGTCTTAGTATTAGGGTAATCCTGGCCTCATAGAATGCGTTAGGAAGTATTCTCTCTGCTTTTACTCTTTGGAAGAGTTTGCAAAGGATTAGTGTTAATTCCTTTTCCATTGCTTGGTAGAATTCACCAGTGGAGCCATCTGGTCCTAGAATTTTCTTTGTTGGAGGTTTCTGATTACTAATGAAATCTTACTAGATATAGGTTATTAGTTTTTCTATTTCTTCATGAGTTGCCTTTGGTAGATTGTATGTTTCTAGTAATTTATCCATTCCATCAATGTTAATTTGATGACATACAATTGCTCATGGTATTCTCTTAAAATCATTATTTTTGTAAAACAGGTAGAAATGTACCTACTTCCATTTCTGATTTTAGGAATTTGAGTTATTCTCTTATTTCCACTCTACTCTTTATTATTCTACTAGCTTTAGTTTGTTCATCTTTTTCTAGTTCAAGGTTTAAAGTTTGGTTATTAATTTGAGATCTTTCTTCCTTTTTTAATGGGTGTTTTTACAGCTATAAAGTCCATCTTAATACTGCTCTTGCACATACCATAAATTCTGTTTTCATTTTCATTTGTCTCAAGGTATTTTCTAAGTCCCCTTGTAATTTCTTCTTTGACTCATTGGTTCTTTAAGATTGAGTTGTTTAAATGAAAATAGAAATAAATTACACAAAGAAAACATAAAAGCCTATGAATACATGGAGGCTAAACAATATGCTTCTAAATAATCAGGATCAATGACAAAATTAAAACAAATCAAGCAATACACGGAGAAAATGAAAACAAAAACTCAACAGCCCGAAACCTGTGGAATGCAGCAAAGGTAGCTCTAAGAGGAAAGTATATAGCAGTACAGACTTGCCTTAGAAAACAGGAACAATCCCAAATAAACAGTCTAAACTCACAAATGAGAAAAAGAAGAACAAGTGAAGCCCAAAGTTAGTAGGAGGGACATAATAAAGATCAGAGCAGAAATAGAGAACAATAAAACAATAGAAAAAAATCAATGAAACCAGGAGCTGATTCTTTGAGAACAAAATAGATAAACCCCTAGCAAGACTTATCAACAGAAAAAGAGGGTGTACACACATAAACAGAATCAGATGAGAAAGGAAAAAATCACTACAAACACCACAGAAATGAAAAGAATTATTAGAAAACACTGAAAAATATGCCAATAAATTAGAAAACCTAGAAGAAATAGACAATTTTCTTGAAAAATACAATCCTCCAGAACTGACCCAGGAAGAAAAGTGAGCAGACCAATTACCAGCAATGAAATATATAATTAGTAATAAAAAAAATTACCAAAACAAAACTCCATATCCAGATGGCTTCACAGCTGAATTCTACCAAACCTTTAAAAAAGAGCTGATACCATAAAACTCTTAGAAAAAAACAGGCAAAAATCTCATGGACATAAACATGAGCAACTTCATGAACATATTTCCCTGGGCAAGGGAAACAAAAGCAAAAATGGACAAGTGGGACTATGTCAAGCTGAAAAGCTTCTGTACACCAGTAGAACAAAAAGGCATCCTACAATATGGGAGAATATATTCATAAATGACAGATCTGATAAAGGGTTGACATCTAAAATATATAAAGAGCTCACACACCTCAACAAACAAAAAGCAAATAATCCAATTAAAAAATAGGCACAAGATCTGAACAGATACTTCTCTAAGGAAGAAATCAGATGGCCAACAGACACATGAAAAGATGCTCCACATTGCTAATCATCAGAGAAATGCAAATTAGAACCAAATTTAGATATCACCTCACACCAGTAAGGATCGCCACCATCCAAGACAAACAGCAAACGTTGGCAAGGATGTGGAGAAAGGAGAACCCTCCTA